TTCGTGGGCAATCTGCTTGGATATTACACCCAACTTGCACAAAGCCCATTCCAAATTATAGATTGTGGTAGCAGCATTAACATTCGAGAATTTCTTTACAAGCGAAATAGATGGCCTCTGCGCTGATCAAAGTGGAGATGGACAATCACTATCGAAGTGGACGCTAGATTCAACTTATCAAAAGAAAATCCATTGGACTGATAATCGTCTTTAACTTCATACAAAGCTACGGTCTATGACTTACTGATTTATGTTCAAGTTTGTTTAAATTTTAATCAGAAGCAAATAAGTCAAGTCAATCTTTCAAAAGATACATTTATTATGTTTTCGCTACTGTTAAAGGTATGTGAAGTGCTTCTGGTTTTGCATAATTTCAGTGGAGCAGGTTCTGGGAATGTAAGTAATGTAAGTACGTAGTAAGTACTGGATGTAAGTACGGAATAAGGGACTTAGGAGGACGGCCTATGCACATTTCATTGCAATCGGTTATTCTTAAATATCTTCCCGTTCGTTTTGGCCATCATGAGCTGCCCATGCATTCATGCGGGCCATTCCAGCCGCTTTTCTCCATCTCAAAATTATCAGATTTCTGTTTAATTTGTGCTGGATATGACTATGCCGACTTGTGAAGAGATAGAATTCACAATCTTCTTGCGTGTCTAGAAGTTTGCCGTAGTCTCCCTGCACTGCCTGCAGAGAAACATTCACAATCCTTGAGAAACCTGGACGAACACTGACGCGTATTGGATCTAACTTAACGAGGCGGAAAAAGAAGAATGATGAATCCCGTTTAGACGCACAGTCAGAGTTTCATAATGGTTATATGGAATTCTGCTTTCTTAACAGAGATATCTTGACGTAAGTAACGCAAACATAACACATTTAGAGCATTGAGCCTCTCTTCCTCAAATTGTAATGGACACTTCAGTTCACATCGACTGCTTGATGTGAACTGTAAGTCCCCATGATAATTCAATGAAGTAAAAACTAAGTATGTCTTTGTAGTAGCCTTTGCAATCTGCAATATTTTTCTCAAATTTTAGCGTCTGCTCCTGTAAGCTATGACCGTAAAAAGTCAACAATCCTTACAGCAGCTACGTGAGAATGATCTAAACCCAGCTTTCTGCGCTGTACATAAACATTTTGTGATGATGTTTGAGCTACCTGGATGCATTCGAGCACACTATCTTGAGAGATTCAAGTATTCTGGTATTGAGTTCCATTTGTTTGGCTCTATCAGTCTGTACTCATATTCTACTGGAGGATGTGATTTCAGACTGACAGAACCACATCTTCTGAAACATAATAACACAGACAGAAGCCAGTTCTTCCTGGTCGCTCTGGGAATTCACAACAGTGTGAGATGGTGCGACATTGTTGTGGATCAGCAGTGGAATAATACGTGCATGGAGATTCACCCAACGTACTACAACAAAGGGCCAAGGTACGAGATGTTGTGGAAGCAGCTGGCAAGCTTGGAGAAAGTCAATGCCCAGGGCGAATCAATCAAGGTCGATTTCTACCAGGAGAACGGGAGTACTCATTATGCCACTATCACTATCTCTTGAATCCTGTACACTGGACTAAAGACTGTGATTAGGTTCGATTATCATGCTGTTTTTTTATTTCAGCTTTAGGAGACAATGTCAGGTCATTCAAGTGCCGATCAGTGCTCCAAGTACACAAAATTGAACGGACTTTTCGCAGAGAAATGTTCGCGTTGGATAAGTTGGCACTCGATTTCTTCAAGTGAGCTGGGGTTTTGTATTTAGCGGCTCTAGGTATTCGGGAAAGATCAAAACTCATGGAAGTTTCTCCCTCTCAAGCTTCCGATGTGCGTTAAGCGTCTGACGACTGCCTCGAAAGTAAAGTTTCTAATCAGTTATGTCCAGCCTTCATATTTGCAGTGTTATAGCTATGACTCTCACTGTCATTCAATAGCCTCCTACCAAGCTTGTCTATGCATTCCGATTCCAAAATGTGGAGTGTGCCATTTTTTTACGTTCCCTCTTCATGATCTTCTCAAATGCTCGTTCATGTCAGCTATTAAATGGATTGAAGTGGACTGAGAACGAAATCGATTCAAACTTAGATATCTGATGATTTCAGCACTAGTCTAGAAAACTGCATGGATTATGTGGGACATTTCTTGCACGTCGGTTAGCGAACTGCCCAAGATAGTGTGAAGAAATCAAAGTGAAAATACGAGATTCATCTGGGAGGAGGGGGGATCCAAATTGTTGGTATGAGATATAAGCATAAGCTTAGTCCCAAGACATGCGTAGATTAGGACGACTCAGCACTTCATACTCCAATTCAATACGACTAAGTTGTCAGATCGGAGGAAACAAACCGAATAAGACACATCTGTTGAGATATGTTTTCTGTCTTGCTAGCAGGAGCGTGAGGAATTTGCCAACAACTGAATCTCAGCTCCATAAATCCGAACATCTGATCGACTGCAACACGAAATCTAATCTGTTTCTTCTCTTTTCCTTAAGATGTAAAGTGGCACTTGTAAATATTACAAATTCACATTCTTCTGAAGATTTCGAAGAATGCACAGTAAGGTAGTTTTCTATAATTATCGGACCTGTTGTAGAATAAATTTAAGTGCTCTGGACATGTTGGAAGGGTAGGGTTTTGTCTAATTAACACGACTGACGCACAGGAGTGGCGTTTTGCACGTGAAGCATATAGATTTGCTCTCAGAAGAAGCGGCCTTAGTAATCAATCAGATGTCTTGATGAGTTTGATGTTAAGTTTATGTTTTGATTACTCACACTCCTATTAGCAACTGGCTGCTATCCAAGATGTGAGTACAGAAATCATGTCCGAGGTGAGAGGTGCTCTCTTGAGGAAATGTACGCAATAAAAAGCGTATCGTTGTTGCTACATAAAATCACCTCTACCTATTGGTGAAAACTTACAGTGGCATACTCAACTCACTCGTGACTGGTCATCGAGCACAGTTTAACTGAGAAAGTTATTTTGGAATTTTTTTTCTCACTGTTGAGGACAGTTAGGAGGAGGCTGGGGTCTAGTTTTGTGAACTGACTAGAAATCAATCGTTTTCGCACGCGACCAGCCCCATTCTATATAAAACTTTTGTTTTTTTCACAGCAAGTGAAAAAACAAAAAGTTCATGCTCAAAGACAAGAGTGGAAATTATAGATGTGTTTTTGGAATCAGAGAGATTCGAAGTCTGAGGTATTTGAGACTGAATTTGGGGAAACTCATGCTGAACATAAATGACATCGATGTATGAACATAGTTTTTGATTTAGAAAACTATGAGACTTCTTGTATTCGTATTTATAAGATTTCTTGCTCTCTTTTTGAGTGAGTCACCGAACGGATAATATTCAGCTAAGTTGAGATGAGATTATCGTTCAGTTGGTTAGTCACTTATCTATCGTAGTCACGTCGTATCTTTCCTGGGCAGCCGACTCAGATTGAATGTTCAAATGAACCTTTATTTATGTCTACGTTAGGATAGCACCAAAAAACATATCTAAAAGGACACGAAGCCACATCAACTGGTACTTAGGTGAAGAAGGGGCTAGGCCCAACTGCATATCGAATATGTGTCAGACTACATGTAAGATACTTTAGTTATCTATTTGAAAGTCTATACATTCACTTAGGATACCAATAGCATCACCTTGCCTGAGACTGCCCAATAAATTGCACCATATATATCTATCAAATGGACTGAAGTAACAAGGACACCTTATGCCCGTATGCTTTGCACATACTCAATATATCGGAATTTACAGACAGCCTACACAGCTCCTATGATGTCTAACCCATGCTCTCAGAAATATATCTCCGAGTCTCAGAACAAATTGCTCCCCTCTATTGCTAACCTGCGGCTATGTCTAATAACTGTAATCTGCCGAAAAATTGGAGATTAAGGATGCGAACTAGAGTCGATGTTTTCCTCGTTCAGTACTGATGTCACTGAAATAGCTTGTACCGATCCGGACATTGTTCGAAAAGCTTGCATTCAAGTATTCGGTTTTTCCAAGGCTAATATATACTGGGACTTGTATTCTTTGTTGTCTTCAAGTAAACGGAAAGAAACTGAAGAACCTCGAATAAAATACTGCGCTTGTCAACTACAGTGGCATACGTGGAAGGCTTGATTTCTTGCATATCACTACACAGGTGCAAACTAGCCAAGATAAATTGAAACTTCAAGGCAATCATCATCATCATTCCGGAGAAAAATTCATATATGTTTTATGGTCCTATGAGATGAATACATCGTCATTGTGGCTAGATTCTTAATCTAGGCACCATATATTTTGGTTCGAAATATAATTCCGAATATGCCCATACTTGAGATAAATACAAGCAACAAAGAGAAAATTTTCAAAGATTTACATCTGCACCTGCGTAATGTTGTTCTTGCCTTTTGACCTGCTTGTAGATCGAATTACAAGGAAATGGTCGCCTGGCTCAGTCCAAGAATGTGAAAACATTACTAAGATTGCGGTCTGCTCTCAGTGGAGCTCTGCCATCAGCAAGCCCACCCTTTGAAGACCATAATTTCTGACATCCGCACACAAAAGATGACTTCAACCGAAACGTGCCTCACATCTCGATCCCGACAATAATCTGACCTCAAAGGATGTTCACCAATAATGTTGAGCATTTGACTGTACAGAAGCTAGTATTGTTTAATTGTGTTCCCCTTGAATTACCAATATACATATGATATTATAAGAAGTAGATAATTGCTTTACATTGTACAGAAGATTATTATGAGAGGTGCAAGATATCTATCAGTATAAGATGATCAAGAGATGAATAAAATCAAACAGTATTTCACATGAGCGGCTGTACTTCCACTCGGTGGAGGAAAACGATTTGTTTGCTGTCCAAATCCCGCTGAAATGAACTAGTGCCAGGCACTGCTGATTCATTGACACTGAAAACTTCATGTGCCATAACTCACTCTCCTTGATGAACATGGATGCAGATAAAAACTTCTATGTACTATCTGAACCGATCGCCCGGGAAATTTATGATTAGAAAAATGCGAAATGAAGAATCTCTAAAATACTTAACCAGAAGAGAGTAGGCGAACCTCTTAATCTAACTGGAATATACATTTCATTCAGGAACTGATACGCAACACAATTTGATTACTTTAAAAATTTCAATAGTTCACTTTAATGAGTTCTCACCAGGTCCGGAAAGTCGGTTATGTGTACCGACAACCATACAGGCTTTAGTGCTTACAAGTTCTCAAGAAAAAAATTCTCACCGCAGACATGATGTCTGTCCTAACATCGTGGTAAGCAGCAATTGGCTACCAGGAGCGTGAGGAATTTGCAAACTACTGAACATCTGATTGATTGCAACATGAAATCTAAGCTGTCAAATCTCAGAAGATTCTAAGTTGCTGAAGGTGTGAAACCACAATCCTGCACTACTGCAAAAATCATGGCTAAATAAACACCACCACAAGCAGACCAGTTGCTGATGATGCTTACGTGCTGATGGTGATAGTGGCATACAAATCGTGATCGTCCTCCCTGTAGTATTCAACCCTGATGTTCTCGCCATTGGACGTATCCTTTTCAAAGCTCTCCAGCTGCTTCCAGAGAATCTGGTATCGAGGCCCGTTTTCGTCGTAGTAAGTCGGGTGGATTGCCATGGCAGTTTCGGTTGTCTTCAGGTCGGGAACAATGTCGCACCACCTCTTCCAGTTGTGGACTCCCAAGGCGACGAGGAACAAGTCGCCCGCTTGGTTTTGGAAGCGCAGCACACCGGAAGTGCCACTATCGCCCATCTTCAGGATCTGCTCTCCGTCCACCTCGCTCCAGGTTCCGCCATTGCCGTAGTGCCAGACGGTCTTCTCCACAATGCTGTACCAAGAAGTAGGCTCGCTCTGAATTACTCTGACGCGGATGGTGTAAGACATCTTCGCTGCTTACTGTCACGGGGTCGAGCAGGAGCAGCTGCCAAAGTGCGAGGAATAGAAAGGCCTGATTGGATCGGATCTATCTCCGACGTCAGCACAGATGCTTGAGGGAATGAGGTTGTGTCACAAGGCTGTCCTGAGACCCCTTATATGCTGTCTCTCAGGCATCTGTAGGATTCCTCAGGCTCGGTTCTGAACATCTTGGAGTAATTGATGATTCGAGTAAGCGATTTGATGTTTTGTTGGATGCGGACAAAACAAACATGTGCTTACGTGTCTACAGAGTAAATATTGTAGTTCAATGTGTAAAATCGAGGAGGGTGTACATTGGAGGTCGGCTGAGTATTCAGAGAGTACTAAGAGTATGATAAGCGTCCGAACATGCCTTCCCCATTTTCTCAGTAAGGCTCGAATCATCAATTACTCGAAGATGTTCAGAACCGAGCCTGAGGAATCCTACAGATGCCTGAGAGACAGCATATAAGGTATTCGATTTGATGATTCGATTTTGTATTTAGCGGCTCTAGGTATTCGGGAAAGATCAAAACTCATGGTTTTTTCTCGTGCCTTCCCCATTTCCTCGTGCTCGGTTCTGAACATCTTCGAGTAATTGACGCTGTCGTTCCTCACGTTCCGAAGAATGATGGCTGATCCATTGCATGGCTTTACTTGGTACTTCGAACGTGAACGAACGTGGATAACAAGTTCCGAGAATCATTTTTTTTTTTAAATGACAGATAAGAACGTGTAGACTGAATATACAGTAGTTCTTTATAGTACTGCATTCCCTATGGGACTCTGTGATGTTTCTGGATCGATTTCCACGAGATGCTGTCATACATTTTTGCTTCTTCTAACCACGTCGTCCAGTAGGAACAGATGCTGAAGGAGGATGCAATGGTCCGATTGCAACAGAACACAGTCTCGATTGAGCCTTACTGAGAAAATGGGGAAGGCACGTTCGGACGCTTATCATACTCTTAGTACTCTCTGAATACTCAGCCGACCTCCAATGTACACCCTTCTCGATTTTACACATTGAACTACAATATTTACTCTGTAGACACGTAAGCACATGTTTGTTTTGTCCGCATCCAACAAAACATGTGCGTGATTCATTCTTAAATTATCTGTTCAATCTGAATGAGATCTGCTGAGCTCGACAAGCAGTTATTGAGGTTTAGATCCACCCTACTATGATATGTCTTCATTTGTTAGAACTGGATAGTGATTCGAAAGTAGTGAGATGAAATGAGCGTGGAACTGTAACATCTACGAATCCAATGTCTATTGCCACACACACAGCTACTAATTGTCCAACTCTGCCGATGACATTTTATCTCGAATTTGTGACTTGGCTCTAACGCTTCACTCCGGCCGTAAGTCTCGTGGTCTCTGATAAGCTGCTGCATCGTGGAGATGTCAAGTCCACCTCCTTCCCGGTTTTAAACTTCTGCAAATCTCTCAGCTTCCAGACACTATCATTTATCTTCTCTGGCGGGTCACTTCACTCAGGCTGAATATGTACTTGTTGTCTGCATATATTTGATCCAATGTCACGGGCCACAAGATTGAGTCCCATGAATTTAGATTCTATTGGCTGGAGAGGCCATGCAAATTCATGCCCTCGCCAGCCAATTGCATCGCGCGGTTTGCCTCCAATCTCGTCACAAAGCTGAGGATAGTAGTCGTCTCAGCACCCAGCAAGAAACGATTCATCGAATTCTTAAACTCTGACAAATTCCTTATGCTTGGGCTAGTGACATAATTGTTCTAGAATTCGTAGGATGTTTCCCGATACACAGAGAGCGCAATCGATTTCGAAGAAGGCTAGGCACATGACCACATGTGCTCCATTGCCGTGCTCAATAGATTACGACAACAGAATGCATCGGTATCCGATACTTAGAGGCAACTAAATGTCTTGAAGTAAATACTCCTAACGATTTAGACACGTGCATCCTCACAGGTTCGTCTTCAATTATTACAACGCTATACCTGATTACTGACACCGTGAACAGGTTTTCTTATTCGAAGGATTACTCCCTGGTGGAGAATATCACGAGATTCTTTTTGGATTTGGAACACGGTTTTACTTCCTGAGCATGTCGGAGGCTGTCATCTGGTTGCGTCCAATCCACTTCCAAAACATCGCAGCTGCTTCTGTTGGAGAACTTATGGAAAGCTGCGAACGTGTCCTAAAGCGTCCATGCGAGAGTGATCCAGATGATCATGGAGCAAATCGCAATTTATCGGAGATCTTAATCTAAGCTGTGAATCAAAGTCTTTCAAAGTGTAATTGGAAGGAAAATAGACTGAAATAATATACAAGTGTTTTCAGACCAAACGAAGAGCTTAGCATCTCGATGTTCAGGGGGTCTAATAAGACCTCTAATTCACGATTGAATCACAGACATGTCAACCATATACTTTGGACGTCAATGTCATTCAGATGCAATATGTGACATCGAGAAGTGTGTGGAGTGGAGATTACAAACTCTTGCTTGAGTAACTGAAATATTAAATATTTGTAACTAAATCTACTTCATATATATAAGTAAATAAATAAATATTTATATATATATACACGCATTTTTTAACTAATTACTGTCAAATCTCTCTAGAAAATACTAAGATATATCAAAATACGAAGCATCAATTGCCTGATCCACAGTCTGCAATCTTCTAGACTCCTTACAATTCCAAATTCAAGATTGCATTTATACATTCACTTCTACCTACGCGTGAGTGGCGTGTGGACTTCTTGAGGCGGCTTCTCACGCTCTCCGGAAGTATGCACGAGGTCCCAAATTTCGATAAACTTTTCTACCTCCGCATTGCCGCAAGGAGAGTTAATCAGAACATTTAAAGGATAGTGCCATCAATCAATGTGTTCGTTCAACGTCCAATGTCATTACTCGAATCAGAGTACTGTACACCTGAACTTGAAGATAAGCTAATATTTAGTTTGGGTTGACCCAGTAGTTTCTTTGCTATAGAGCTTCAAACCATAGACAACATTATGTTCTCTACTATGTCTCAAGATATTTTTCAATTTTAAATTTATAAAATTTACATATTTTTCAGTTTAATACAAAGTCATTTTGATTATATAAAGTATAATTTGATTATTAGTTTGATATTATTGAAATAAATTTTAATTTAATTTTAAAATTTAATCAAAATATTTGTATACAAATAGTAATTATTATTTCATTTTATATCAAAATTTTGATTTCAGAGAAATTAAAATTTAATCATAAATTATAATTTAGAAAGATAAATTAATTAAAATTGGATTTTAATATTAATTTTATATTATAAAAAGGTAATTGATTTGTTTGGAAAATTTTTATTTCAAATATTAATTATATTATCTTCACTCGTTTATAAATAAATTTCTATATTTAGGTTTAATTTCTTAATGTTATTCAAAGAATTATTTTTAAATTTTCTGAAGTAAAACTAATTTTTTTAATTCTAATTTAATCTTTTTCGTAAATTTTTCATCTTTTTTCTGGAATAAATCTCATTTTTTATCAAGTCAGAAAAAAAAATTACTCGTTTTTAAATTTCTTTACTAAACTTCTAGAAATAAGCTTTTCCTCAATATCATTTATTTATTTTAAACCAAATTTTAAAAATTTAAATAATATAGAATTTTGTATATATGATTAAAAAATTTATGAGTTATTTTGATTTCAGAAATTTTTTTATTATATATTTAATGCAGTTTTAAATTTTAAATTATTTTATTTTACTTTTTTTTTAATTTTTAATAGAATAAAATTCAAAAATTTTAGTTTTAATTATCATTGAACTCTAAACTTGAAACATAGTATAACTTGATTCTACTTTAAATATTTATAAATATATATATATATATATATATCAGTTTAACTCTAAATTATTATAATTAAATTAAATTTTAAAATTAATTATAAAATTCTAAATGAAATTTTATGGTAAATTTTGATTCATTATGAATAAACAACAAAAAAGATCTCAATTTGTTTTGTGAGCTATAAGATTTCTTCACATGACAATGATCAATTATTGGGACCAGTCACAAAAGATCTTATTGGAGGATGAGGACAACGACAAGGTGAAGGTGTTGGGAGAAAAAAAATATCTGCGCGGCATGGGAGCATGCAGGAAAAGGCCTGAAGATTCGTCCGGAGCCCTTAAGAAGAAGGAGCAGCAGGGCCGAGCGACGCCATTTAGCACGGCCATTTGCTATCTGGGCAGCTGATTCGATGTATAGGTGGAGGGAGGGAAGATAGAAAGCGAAGGGGAGGGGTAGAGAGCTCTAGGGAAATCCGCCATGGCCTTCAGCCCGAGATTCCCCAGAAGTATTATTCTCGTAGGTTGCATATGACTGGCGGGAAAGTACGAAAGAGTGCGAGAAGAATCTTAAATATCAAGTGAAGGTGATGAGGAAGTAGCTGCTGCACGAACTACGGAGTCTTCATTTTCAGCAAATGATTATTGCTCTTATGATTATTATTCATATTCCAATTGCAATTCACTTATGACATGAACAGTATATTTCCCATATTGCTGTCAATATTGCGCATCATCATAAAACAAAATTTTGTCATAAAATATAAAGCTTGACAAAGTATTCTCAACGTAAGTAATAAAGTACTTAAACTGTGAAGGTGTGTTGACCCTTTGAACCACGCCATCGTATAGAGCTATGAGGTTTATATAGCAGCATCAAGTGATTTAATTGACTTGGATTTCACCGGCTACAAGTGACTGATTTCACCGCATACCCAGGTTTTTGGTCTAGCCACAGTTTGGTATATTCTGGCCAAAAACATAAGTTGTGTGGCGCAATGAAAGTTACTCAAATGCTGAACAAAATTTGCCTAAATTTTGCTCAAATTTGTATACTTTGTGCAACACCTTTACCAATGCTAAACCTAATATGTCTTCAAGCTTTTCTAGGGTCGCTGCTCTTGTACTGTCTTAACTGAACAAATAGAAATTTAAATGAAGTCTTAATCAAATAAAACTTTAAGTTTTAAATTCATTTTGAATAATTTAAATTCTAAAGTTAAATATGTAAATCTTTTTATTATTCAATTTCTTATTATGTAATGTA